AAAGAAAGAAAGAAAGAAAGAAAGAAAGAAAGAAAGAAAGAAAGAAAGAAAGAAAGAAAGAAAGAAAGAGAGAGAAAGAAAGAGAGAAAGGAAGAAAAAGAGAACCATGGCCTAGCAATGTCCACCACAAAGGTTCTGGTTTAATTGACTTGGGCTGGATATCTGTTTTGTTATGCTCCTCTTTTTGCCCTTTTTTAAAAAAGTTAACCAGGTAAATACAATGAGCAACTTGATTGAGAACAACTAGTCTCGAAGAAGTAGAAACACATAAAGAGAGGGAGGTTGGATTAGTTGACGGAGGAGAAAGTTGCAGAGCCTTTCACCCTGGGTAAACAGTATGCAAAAAGAAAAATGACGTCTTAAGGTTTTCAACCTCATGAAGGGGGTCGGCCCAGTTTGTGTGGAAAGCTGGAACTGAACATTCTGCAGAAAGCTGGATACCTGGAAGAGCTCCCTCAACAGAAAGACTCAGCAAGAAAGGTTTCACTGTGGTCTAGTGTCTCAGCAAGGAACTCGTGGACCATCATTGGTCAGGCATGAAAAGTCAACCAGAAGACACCAGTGTTTTCAAAAAAGTGATATACATATAGGAGGAGGCACCTTGATTTTCATTATCCATAAATCCAAAATGTAGAACTCAAACCAAGACATTTACATGAAAAACTGGTGCAAAGGGATGAAAACAATGGGGCTTCCCCAGAAGCAAACAACCCTAGGAATAGCTTCACTACCCAGAGTAGACAAGGTTCCCACAGGAAACAAATTCCACTGAAGACTAGGCCTGTGATGAAAAATTCTTCAGTACTCAAGGAAGAAAAAAATGCCATGAGAATGAGTACATGCAGAAACTATATATTCTGGATCAATCTGAGAGAGACTTCTATATAAACATATGTAACATGTTCAAAGAAATAAAAACAGGAAAAATCCAGTAGGCCAGGAAAGAAAAAAATAGACTTAAAACAAAACAAAACATACAGAAATTAAATTTATTTATAATTTAATTAAAATAATTTTATAATTAAAATAATTTTTAAAAATCCTCTATAGATTGGTTAAAGGGTATAGCCTATATATACATAGCTGAAAAAAAGAACTGAATAATTAGAAGACAGAGCTGAAGAAATCACAGAAAGCTGCACAATAGTCCGCATAGAGAGAAATAGGTAAAAAACAGTGGTCTTGAGTACGGATTTTTGGAGACTACTAATGCTTTTCGGAATACAGAACAGTGGGTTGACATTTTAGATACATGAGAGGCAGAGATAGTATATAGGAGAAATCAATTATCCTAAAATTTCAGAGAAATCTAAACATGTATATTGTCACCATGTTGTTGAGTTTCTGTGTTTGCTAAGAAGGGCAAAAGACATTCTTGTAATATTAAAAATTTTGTAAAAAAATTTTTGTAGCAGTAGTTGAAAGTATGTTTGAATGATAAACTTGAGACTGTGAATCTTTATTTGAGGAAACTACATAATTGTTTCAGACATTTTGTTGTACAATAAACAATAAATGCTGGAGAGGGTGTGGAGAAAAGGGAACCCTCTTACACTGTTGGTGGGAATGTAAATTGATACAGCCACTGTGGAGAACAGTATGGAGGTTCCTTAAAAAACTACAAATAGAACTACCATATGACCCAGCAATCCCACTACTGGGCATATACCCTGAGAAAACCATTCAAAAACAGTCATGTACCAAAATGTTCATTGCAGCTCTATTTACAACAGCCCAGAGATGGAAACAACCTAAATGTCCATCATCGGATGAATGGATAAAGAAGATGTGGCACATATATACAATGGAATATTACTCAGCCATAAAAAGAAACGAAATTGAGCTATTTGTAATGAGGTGGATAGACCTAGAGTCTGTCATACAGAGTGAAGTAAGTCAGAAAGAGACAAATACCGTATGCTAACACATATATATGGAATTTAAGGAAAAAAATGTCATGAAAAACCTAGGGGTGAAACAGGAATAAAGACACAGACTTACTAGAGAATGGACTTGAGGCTATGGGGAGGGGGAAGGGTAAACTGTGACAAAGCGAGAGAGAGGCATGGACATATATACACTACTAAATGTAAAATAGATAGCTAGTGGGAAGCGGCTGCATAGCACAGGGTTATCGGCTCGGTGCTTTGTGACCGCCTGGAGGGGTGGGATAGGGAGGGTGGGAGGGAGGGAGACGCCAGTGGGAAGAGATATGGGAACATATGTATATGTATAAATGATTGACTCTGTTATAAAGCAGAAACTAACACTCCATTGTAAAGCAACTATACTCCAATAAAGATGTAAAAAAAAAAAGTAATACAATCATTACAATTTATTATTTGTTTATAGTTCTGTTTAGATGTAGAGGTAGATTTTTAAACTGTGTGCTAAATGACACATAAAGGCTGATTTGTCCATTTCCACTATTCATTCAATCTTTATCCTCTGTTTATATGGATAATCTAGAAGTTTAGCACAAATTAATTCAATAGCTAGTTTTCAAATTAAATAACCCCCAAATGTATATTTTTGTCCATAATAATATCAAAGGAGTTGTTCTCACCTTCATAGATTTTCTATTTTCTGATTTCACAGGCAACTCCCTTGAACTTGTATGGGCAGGAACACAAACATTGTCCATCCAGCAGAATCACAGTCCCTCCATTTTGGCACGGTTGGCATTTTCTTACACTGAATTCATTGATGTAGTCTTCAATGGCTCTTTCCAAATTTTGTTTCTTTAGGTATGCATCTTTTATTTTCACTGGAATCAGATCATATATCGGAGACAGCTGCAGGAGAGCAAAACATTTAATTTTAGGTCTTTTTCTATAGACAGAGCTTGTGCAATATTTTTCACTAAATTATTCATTGCTTCATTAATTCAACAAAGGCTTATTGAATGATTATTATTGCCAGATATGATGTTAGCTTTTAAGACTGCCAGTGATCAAAACTAGTCATGATCTCTGTAATCATGGAGATCCCATTATGGAGGTAAGGAGACTGATATTAAAATAATCATACAGACAAATTTAAAATGGAAACTGTGACTAGGTGCTATAAAGGACGGGTATATGTATTTTAACAATGAACAGTCAGGGATTTAAAGTTTTAGCAGGCTAATTTACTGACATATTGTGAATGCTTTTTGCTGCCTTTTTGCTGCCTCCCCTTTTCCAGAAGGTAGGCAAGTGCTTGCGATCTCTTGTCAAAGAGGAGGTTTGTGTGTGATGCCAAGTCCAGAATGCCCCTAAAGGCAAACTCTTTACTGATTTTTTTTCTTTAAAAGCTTGAACTCATTGATAAATTTTTGTTGGGAGAAGGAGTGTGGGAAGAATGCCACCAAGGTGGGGGCATTCCTTCAGTCCAGGAAGGGGGTAGAGTTAGCAGGTACCTCAAGTAGCAGGAAACCATAGCTAGATCTCTAGCAGCTATTTTGGGAAGTAGCAAAATCTTTGGAGTGTCCCTAGGGAAGGTGGCTATCAAGGAACAGGCTACAGCTTTGTCAATGACTCCGATGCTCAATCTTGGCATGGAAAGTTTGCAACCACCTGACTTCAAGTGAACTTGTAAACTTGAACAATGAGGTTATCAGGGTGACCACCATGGACTAAATACTTACCTATATCGTATCTTCATTTCCCAGACAGAAGCATCAGGACAAGCCAAGAGCTACCCTGAACCCCATCCAACAAATGAATGAAGGATGAATTTTCCAGCAGCATGGAAGGATGGGATCTCAATGTCAAATTTAATTATACTAAAATAAATGAAGTAAAATGATTTATTTTGTACACTTAAATTCCTGGAGTAAGATACATAGTTGCTACCATTGAATCAGGGAAGTTTGGAAAGGCTTTCCTGAGAAAATGACTATGAAGTTGAGATTTGAGAGTGTTAAGATGGAAAGATTACTCTAGTAATATAGGGCAGAATTCAAAAAATGCTTAGTTATGTTACACATAAAACACATATAGAATATACAGGGCTATGTTTTATGTACATATGTAAAACATGTATAGAAAACTTGTATCATATGCCTATTTAATGTAAGCAAATTCAATTGTGTGACTGTAAAGGTGTTTGAGTAGATAAACTGTAAGAAATTGAGACCCTTTGGTGGCACAGTACTTTGAAATAAGAGACCACAAAATTTAGAAGCAATTGGAATCGAAAGACAAGATTAAAAAATATACCACAGAACTTCCCTGGTGGCGCAGTGGTTAAGAATCCCCCTGCCAATGCAGGGGACACGGGTTCGAGCCCTGGTCCGGGAAGATCCCACATGCTGCTGAGCAACTAAGCCTGTGCACCACAACTACTGAGCCTGCACTCTGGAGCCTGCGAGGCACAACTACTGAGCCCGCATGCCACAACTACTGAAGCCTGTGTGCCTAGAGCCCGTGCTCCACAGCAAGAGAAGCCACCACAATAAGTCCACGCACCACAACGAAGACCCAATGTAGCCATAAATAAATAAATTTATTAAAAAAATAGTTTTATATATACACACACATACACACACACACACACACACACACACACACACACCACAAATTCCTGCCAAAGAGTAATGATGGATTAAATAAAGTCAACTAATCCTTTTTCTGAGGACGATGAGAAAAGCTGAACAAGATAAAAGTAAAATTAAAAAATTTGCTTGAAAACCCTGGAGAACTAACAAGGTAACAAAACATTACTAGGCTAAGATCTGGGAGGAGGTAGAAGTTCAGTGAGGTGAGCCCAGTACTTCTGGGTCACCAGTCCCCTTGACACATTTCCTAAATCAGGAAGAGGCAGTCGAGGAACTAAGAGGTAGAGCAGCACATTACTGGGCTGGGGAAAAAAGGTTGGAATTCAGGACAGCAAAGGTAAAAAAGCTGTGCTTTGGGTTGGGCCCCAAAGGACTGCAGCCCTAGAAGTAAAAGGGAATTGGAATTGAGGTGGTCCTGGCAAAGACTGCAGCTGGTTTTAAAATAATCCTGAGTCATTAGGACCCCAGAGGCTTTTCAGATACAAATATGTATTTCTTTTGAAGACAATAAAAGCATCTCAGGCCTCAAGCTACTCTGATAGCAATTTTTAAAGTATAATATCCAGCCCACAATAAAAGTAACTAGGTACACAAGGAAATGAGCCAACGTGAATGAGAATCAGTAGAAATAATAGAAATGAGAAACAGAGTTTGGGAATGCCAAGATTTGAGTTATCAGATGTAGACTTTAAAACAGCTATGTTTACATAAGCATAAGAGACAAGATTAAAAATTTTAGCAGAGAACTGAAAATTATTTTTAAAAATAGAAGATTTGAAAAAAAATAAACAAAGAGAATTGGAATTTGTTATTATAATATACAAATTAATGGACTGGTTAAATAGTAGATGTGACACAACTGAAGTAAAGTTAATGAATTGAAATATAGGTTAGAAGAAGATATTGACAATGAAGCATGAAGAGATACAAAGTCAGGAAATACAGAAAGACAATAGGAAACATAAAAGAGAGAGTGAGGGGATTCCCTGGTGGCGCAGTGGTTGAGAGTCCGCCTGCCGATGCAGGGGACACGGGTTCGTGCCCCGGTCCGGGAAGATTCCACATGCTGTGGAGCGGCTGGGCCTGTGAGCCATGGCCGCTGAGCCTGCGTGTCCCGAGCCTGTGCTTTGCAACGGGAGAGGCCACAACAGTGAGAGGCCCGCGTACCGAAAAACAAACAAACAAAAAAAACATAATATTTTACTATTTTTTGAACTTCTCCAAGAAGATAAATTTAAAGTGTTTCATGGTGGACTAACTATGGTTGCCTTCTGCTTAGGCAGAATATTGATATGAAAAGTCCAGGCTTTCAATTCATGAAGAAAGAAACATAGAGATATTTTAGATGGAATGCCCACCAATCTAAAAATCTGGGGGTCAATAGTTGACCTTAAAAATAGGATAAAACTATATTTTGCATCCAGCCAGTAGGACTGTGCCAACAGAGTTGATGAAGGTTTTTGAATAGTTCTATTAAATCCAGTAGTAAATCTTCAGCAGATACTTTATTGACTTGAGATTTTAAAAGTCAGCTCTAGAATATGATGGACTCTTATTAAGACCTCCTCAGAGAACAGTCTTGGATCCGTACAAGGACAGTTGAACTCCCTTTGTAGAAATGAGAAGACAAGACACTTTAGGTGTCCATCTGAATGTAAACATCCACCTAAATCAATTTTTTTCTTGTTTGTTTGTTTTGGCCATGCAGCTTGTGGGATCTTAGTTCCCTGACCAGAGATTGAACCCAGGCCCTTGGCAGTGAAAGTGTGGAGTCTTAACCAACTGGACCGCCAGGGAGTTCTGAATCAATTCTTTTTTTATTTAAGATCTTCTGAAACAGATTTATTTCACTGAGTTCAAGATAATGAATTTAAATATCATTTAAATATGACAAAATAAAAGGGGTCTCTTCTGATTTTAATTTTATATATGGGCATGCTAATTTGGACAACTATTTTCCTCTCTTTGTCCTAGTTTTGGGACAAAATATGTGAAGACTCTCACAGATGTGCTCGCATATTTACAACTGGGTAGATTTCCACAACCTAAAGGGAGAGTACATTACAATTTTCCTGAGTTTCTCTCTCACATAAATGAAGTAGTTTGGGTGGTTTCACTCACTCTTTAAAGACAATAATGAAGAATGAAGGAACACAATTCTCTAATAACTAGTCCTATCAAAAATGTCAACATGTTGGACTTCCCTGGCAGTCCAGTGGTTAAGACTCCACACTCCCATTGCCAGGGGCATGGGTTTGATCCCTGGTCAGGGTACTAAGATCCCGCATGCTGTGTAGTGCGACCAAAAAAAAAAAAAAGTCAACATGTTTATAACTCAAGTTAATCAAAAGGAAGTAGGGGGCAATCAAAGATAAATTTGACCCAAGGGAAGAAAATTGTGAAACATACAGGGAAAATTGATAGCTATAGAAGAAAGTAGGAAAAATACTTTCTAATAATTTCAGGAACAAAACAGCAATAGAGGAAAACACATAGCCTTTATAGTTAGTTTGGGGAGAGAATGGTGAGGCTAAGTAACATTGGCATTTATATCTTTATAATTATAATGTAGCTTTTTCCCCTTAGGAATAAGCACCAAGACTGTAAAGTCCCAAAAGGTTTATAAACGGAAGACTATTATAATCAAGACACAAAAAGGAAAGGATTTCCTGACCATGAGAACTGTTCACTCTTGGTCTTATTTTCTGAGAACTTATGAACTTCCCTTTCATAAAGGCCCTTGAAAAATACAATTCTCCTGTGTTGGAAGTGGTGGTATGATATCACCTGAAGGCAAGGGACAACTGGGGCAGAAGGAAGGGAACCAACAATTTCTGTGCAACTATTTTGTACCAATCTGAGCTATAGTCTCTATACAAGGAATCACATTAAATCCTCAAATAAACGTGGAGCCCTGGAGAATTCAGTGTTGCAGAAGTCAGAAAATATTACACATCTAGTGAGGAGCAGAGACTCAGACTCAGCCCGGTCGGTCTGATGCCCCCTCTGTGCCTTTCTTCTATACCATGCTTCTTTCAGGGATGGGACGGGAGTGCATTTGAATGCTCACGTCTCTTTCAGATGAAGTTAACTGTTCATCTGAACCAGCAATTACATTTAGGAAGAAAATGACAAAATCTTCCATTTGAAAATAAATATTTCTTACTTTTTGATTTATGAGCACTGGAGCATCGTTTAAGGAAGAGGCCCAATTTACAAAGTCAGTCACATTAATCATCCTGCCTCTTCTGAGAAGCTTCTCTTTCAGTTCAGTTGCATATTTTCTTGTTCCTCCTCTTATGAATGAAATAACATCATCGATGAGGCTTTCACTCGTGATGTTTTCTGAGAAGAGAAAGAAGATATAAGTGAAGCATGTATAGTTCTGTGATATCTGATAGACATTTATTGAACCCCTTTCATAAGGTATAGTCTAGTACATTTATTGAATTTTACTTATAAATATTACTTATGTAATTTTTTTCACCCCAAATATCCAAGGGTCATTTTTATTAGTAGTCAATTATAGATTCCAATCATCTTTTTAAAGAAAATATAAATGGTATGACGCTTGAGATACACTAATAATTTAAAGTTCATCACCTAAGCACATGCACACATGGGAACACGACTCTTGAATGGATACATTTGTTGTTGCAGACTTAGCTTCATAATTATATTTTGTATAAGTTTGCTTTAAACTGTTTTAATATTATAAAAAACTTCAGAGTATAAAAAAGAATAAAGTAAAAAACATAATTTCTTTCCACCCCTATTTTTACATTATTTCTCCCTCAGTCTCTCCCAGACTAAACTGCTTTAAAAAGTTTTGGTGAATCATTTAGAGTTGTGAATTTTTTGAACTAAAAAGTAATTTCAAGGTGATTTTTGTTCATCCTTCCTTATTTCTATAGATGAGAAGACTGAGCCTCAGAGAGATGGAGTGACTAGCCCAAGGTCACACAGTAAGCTTAATGGCCAAATTTTGAAATTACGACATTTGATGGCAAGGTCAGTTTTCTTTTCATTTCATCGGTAGTTTCCAAGCATGGCCACATGTTAGTGGCTGGTATGCTTTTAAAAATATTAGGTTTTCCTCTCTTCTACTTCTCCACTATCAGCTGACCCTTTTTTTTTTTTTTCTACATCTTTATTGGAGTATAATTGCTTTACAATGGTGTGTTAATTTCTGCTTTATAACAAAGTGAATCAGCTATACATATACATATGTCCCCATATCTCCTCCCTCTTGCGTCTCCTTCCCACCTCCCTATCCCACCCCTCTAGGTAGACACAAAGCGCTGAGCTGATCTCCCTGTGCTCTGTGTCAGCCGACTCTTTAAATCACTCTTTAAGTGAGTCTCAAACATTTGTATTTCTGAGAATGCTCTCAAGTATTTCTGATTAGAGTAAAAATTGAGAACTCCAGCACTACCTCATGCTTATAAATCTGCTAATGATTAGCAACAGAAGTAATATTTATATCAAAAAATTATATTTTTAAAAATGTTATGCACTGATTTATTGTTAACGATGGATTAGGTATTTTCTTTTTTTCACCCAGTTTTATTGAGATATAATCATGTACAATACTGTATAAGTTTAAGGTGTACAGCATGATGACTTGACATACATATATATTGCAAAATGATTATCACAATAAGTTTAGTTAACATACATTACCTCATATAGTTACAAAAATTATTTTTTCCTTGTGATGAGAACATTTAGGATCTATTCTCTTCGCAGCTTTCAAATACATCACAGAGCAGTGTTAACTATAGTCATCAGGTTGTACATTACATCCCCAGTACTTATTTATCTTATAACTGGAAGCTTGTACCTTTTGACCAATTGGGTGAAGGTGAATTAGGGATTTTGAGTCAGGTGGAAGATTGAGTTAGGGAGATGGTTTTGGCCTTCTCCTTTCTTGATGGACACAGACAGCACTGCCACTAGGCCATTTGGAAGCTTTGTTAAAATTAGGGGAAAAAAAGAGAACTTTCCTCAAGATATTTCTCTACCATCGGGCTTCTACCATTGCCATGATAAAAATATAGATCTACAATGACCACAGTGTGAATGGCTGTATTCCCCAGAGCTGTGCAGTTCACGACCTGCACAATGATGATACCATTGAATACATGTCCCCAGGTTACTTGTGTTTATAATGGTTTGGGAACCACTGTGAAGGTAAAATAGCTTTTGGGAATTCCCTGGCAGTCCAGTGGTTAGGACTCTGTACTTTTACCACCGAGGGCCTGGGATCAGTCCCTGGCCAGTGAACTAAGATCCCACAAGCTGGTGTGGCTTGGCAAAAAAAGAAAAGAAAAAAAAAAGATAAAATAGTTTTTAAGCACTTTCAGTTTGTTGTTGTTGTTGTTGTTTTTTATAAAGAGGGGAGACAACAAAGAAGGCTCATAGTGACAGGGCAGTGCTCATTGACCTTTCCTCCTTCTTTTCACCCTAGTAAGTTAGACCATACTTACGAAATTTATCACCACTCCTCTTTAAGCAATTGTCTGAATTAATATTTCCTGCGATTTCAATTCCAGCATTCAGAGATAAATCCAGATTAAACCCGAGGCATCTCTGTATATCCCTTAGTTCAACACCTGTTTAATATATTTAGTTAGAAATTATTAGATTATGTCTATCAACGTCATAAAAATTCCAATTTTGCTATTTTGTAAGAAACATACTTACTTGGATTCCTAGACATTATTACTGAACTCAAATGCAAGGTTATATCTGCCCTGCTTTGCCCTCATATTAGAATCTAATGGTCTCCTTTGACTTTGCTTGTCAACTTAATGGTGAAGGACCGATAAATTTACCCCTTGTTAAAAGGGACATGAGTCAGACAAGGGTGGTTATAGTCCATCCTTACCTCTAATACCATAAAAAGGAGACAATATCTAACATGTATTGAATGATTATATGCCCAGCATCATTCTAAGCATCTTGTGTAAATCAACTAATTTAATCCTCTTATTGACTTTCTGAGATAAGTTTTATTATTATCCTCATTTTACAGATGAGCATGAGGAATAACAAAGCAGTTAAGGAACCTGCTGATGGTACTCAGTTAGTAATTAGCCAAGTAGGTACTAGAAACAAGAGCTGTCTGGCTATTAAGCACTTCTCTGCATCAACTTCATAATTTGGTCATGGGATGCATCAACATCTCCTGATCCTCTTTGGAAGACTCAGTTCATCATTGAGGTAGCTAGTTTGTTGCTTTGGGCAGATGGCTTAAATATATGACACTTTATTCTGGTCCTACTAATGCTGTTTAGTAGACATTGGTCTTGGGAGCTGACTCATTGTGGTGTGTGGTTGCTCCAGTTATAACGAAGAAAAATCCCAATATTTACTCAAGTATATAATTTATTGTCTATTCTCCTGATTTAAAAGAGGAAATTATTTCTTCATTTTAAGAGTAACTTCCCAGGTCTGAGCTCATTGATCATATCAGTTTTTGCTCTTATTTATCACTTCAGATCACACACACACATACACACACATATACAAACACGTGGTTGTTTGTCCTGGAAGCCAAAATGCTCTACGAAAAAGGAAAGGGAGAAGTTAAGTTAATCCCAGGATCCCATGGTGAGATGTAGAAGTAGAGATCTGAGGCATTTAGTCATTCATTCATTCATTCAACGAGTATCTTTTGTGTACCCCCAATTACTGAGAACTTAAGAAATATCCAGTGGAATTTCCCATGGTAAAGGAGGAGGGAGGATAAAAATGGAAGATAATGCTAGAAATTCAGAATACTAGATTTCCAACCTTAACCTAAGAAGCATGAGAATTCTGATTCGAAGATGAGGATGAAAATACCTAAGTGACCCCCTAAAGCTTAGATTCTCTACCTCAGCTGTGGACCTCTCCACGACCAGACGGAGTCTGGATGCCCCAAACTGCAGGACGTGGCTTGGATCTTGGGTGTGGCAAAGCAGAGAAGTGAGAAGAATGACTTCCTCTTCAAAGACCCAGAGTCCACCTAATGATCTTTGTCTACTAAGGCCAGAAGGTAAGTAGATATAAGTAGGTAGCTCTGAGTTGTCCAAGATGAAAGATTTCAACCCATGGAGTTTTTTCACCAAAGCAACTCTTAGCCTGAAGAGTTCTTTGTGTTTTGATCACCCTTGCTGAGCCTTTCTCTTCTGATTTTCAAGTTACTCAAGACACATTCCTCTTGTGCCCCTCTCCCATGTGATATCTATCAATATAGCCTACTGGGCAGGGCTCCTAGAGATCCCATTATGCCGTCTCACTGGAATAACCTTGTGAGGCAGTATAAACCAAGAAACCGCATACTCTAGTCCCCCTGGAAATGCATCTACCGGCCCAAGACTAGACTGAGGCATCAAGAGCAACTGGTTCTGGCCATTCATATTTGTTTCATCCTTAAAGGGTTTATCCACAGTGGGGACAGTGTCAGGCTTTAAGATCAGAGCTGAATCCCATCTTTTGCTTGACACAGCCAGAGGCTAAGGAGAAAGAGCCATGGAAGTGCTTTTGGCAACACTTCCTTCCCTAAGAGACACAACCCAAATCTTTGAGGGCAGAGAGAGGAGCTATGCTGGCATCTTTCACCTCTTTAAAGAGTGCTGTAACTAAGCCTTAATTAATCACAAAATAAATATTAAAACTTATTAACATAGAAACTTGGCATCTAGTTTATTCTTAAAAGGCTTTGAGGAAGTCTTTAGGTCAGGATGGTAATTCTGTAGCACATAGGCCTATCCTGTGCATATGGCAGACACTGATGATCAATCATAGACTCTTTTCCATGATTCAAGTGTGGTCAGAAACCTATTTATGGACCCAATTCAACTACCACCCCATAGTTAGAATTGTCATCATATGAGGTAAAACGAATTTTCCACTTTTGCTTTAGGCTTACATGTTGTTAACATTGTTTCTTCCTTCCTCTCTTAGAGAAAATTTAGAACATTTCCTTTCCAATTCTGAAGAATACTTTGGAAGATAATTGGCATACATATAATTGAACCAGTCTATGGATTAAGCAAGAGGTTATGTAAATGACGTCTTTTGTACTTTTCACCTTTTAAATAGTATTTCACTAAAAGCAGCACCACCAAATAATATTATATTGCAGTACGATTTTGTGCATTTCTCAGTAGTGCTGCTGAGAAGTGCAGGGCCAAGTCATCTTGTTTGAGGTGGAAGTCAATTTGCTGTTTGATAGGATTTTAGAGGCCAAAGGGCAGGGAGAGAGTTCTCTCAAAGAAGCAGGTTACAAAACTGTAAAGCCTTTAACCATTGGAAGAGGATAACACTAGAAATAGTTGATGGTTACAACAATGTTGGAAGTTAGAACTCTATTTCTAGCTATACCTTTCTGGTTCATGGAAGTTTTATCCAAAACATATATTAGTTCATAGAGTCCTCCTAGAGTCCCAGAGCTACTGTAGTGGGTTCCATAGGTTTCCAAAAATGCAAAATATTCCCCCTTTTCATAGGTAGCTGGTAGAGCTTTTATAGAATCCAAGAAAGTTGTTGCCAGCATGACGTCCCGAGTTCTCATCACAAATCTTCCCAGGTGAATGGCTCCTTTTACATGCAGAAATATTTTTTCCTTTGTTGTAGAGCCAAAGAAAAGAAATATGAGTTTTATCACCATTATTTTGAATTCAAAAATCACAAAATTTAGAATTTCCATAGTCAATACGTTTTTAGCAGTGACCGCAAGATATCGCTTTAACCCACTTGGAATGGCAAACTTAAAATCATATCAAAACTGTTGATGAAGACGTGCAGAACCTGGAACTCTCTCACAGTGCTGGTGGAAGGGTAAAATGGTACAACCACTCTGGAGAACTGTTTGGCAGTATCTTGTAAAAGTCAACACACATCTACCCCAATGGCCAGCAACTTCACTTCTACGTAAGATCAGTAAAAGAGTAGTTCACAAAAAGATCTGTATGAGACTTTTATAGTGGCTTTGGTCAGAATAGCTTAAAATTGAAAATGACAAATGTCCACTGACAGGGGAGTTAATAGATAAATTGTAGTCTATTCACACAAAGGAATACTAGTTAGCAATAAAAGGGAACAAACTACTGATACAGGCAAAAATATAAATAAATCTCAAAAATATTATACTGAGGGCTTCCCTGGTGGCGCAGGGGTTGAGAGTCTCCCTGCCGATGCAGGGGACACGGGTTCGTGCCCCGGTCCGGGAAGATCCCACATGCCACGGAGCGGCAGGGCCTGTGAGCCATGGCCGCTGAGCCTGCGCATCCGGAGCCTGTGCTCCGCAGCGGGAGAGGCCACAACAGTGAGAGGCCCGCATACCGAAAAAATATATATATATATTATACTGAACGAAAAAGTCAGGCACCAAAGAGTATATACTGTATGATTCTATTTATATGAAGTTGTAGAACAGGTGAAACTAAGCTGTGGTCAGAGAAATCTGGTCAGTAGTTGCCTCTCAGGCAGTAGGGGATTGATGCAAAGGGCATGAAGGAATTTTCTTGAGGTGATGGAAATATTCTACATTTTGTTTAAGGAGGTGGTCACAAAGGTGGATACAATAGTCAAAACTCATCATGGAACTAAATGCGCAAAATATTTTCATTTTATTGTATGCAAATTACACCTCCCTAAGTTGACTTAAAAATGTTAACAATGGAAGGAAATGTAGACGGTATATATGAAGCCCAATTTTATTTTACACATGAGGAAACTCTGATACAAAGGTATCAAATTATTTGCCCCAAATCACACAGAGTCTGTGGCAGAGATTTGTCCCAAAAACCTAGGTCTCAGGTCTCTCTGTGCCTTCTACTAAGTCCTCTCAGTTTTTGATAACAGGAGGGACAGATAATATTTTAAGCTGTGGCTTTCAAGCCAATCTAAACACCTCAGCAGTTAATGTTCCCAGGGATGATGGCTTAAATTTCCAAAGGAAAACTGGGGCGGTCACAAAGAACTATGTGATTTAATGCTATAGACTGTCCTGGCCAAAACTAAACTACAACTGACATCCATGATTTTGTGGAAGGTTCTTTTGAAGTTCTCCTGCTGTAGTTGTGGTTAGCACGTGTTGATTGCATAGGAGTTTAATACGTTTTATTATTTTTTTAAAGGTACATCTTGGTGTATACAAACATCACACCAAACTTTTTATGTTTTAGAAGCACAATTGTTCACACTGCGTGACTTAACTTTAGGTGATTTTGGGTGATTCAGTATCTAACAAAAATCTTAAAGAAACTTACTCCATATATATATGTTCTCCACCTGATGACTTGCATAATAATTCTTAATGCAACCTCAAAGATGCACAAAACATATTCGGAATCCCTCTCGTTTTTGCTAAAATTAGGTGTATCTTGTCAGAAAGACATTGTGTTCTTTGACTCAACTTATTTTAGAGGTAGATCTTAGATTATTCCCAGCCAGATATACTCTTGTTTCTTCCATCTTAAAGGAATAAAAATAATCTCTTGGCCTTACTTGTTCAGCCATTTGCCACTCATTTCTTCACCCTCATTAGAAGCAAAATTCCTTTAAAGAGTTTTCTGTACTAGCTCTTTCCAATTCCTCTCTTCCCAGTTTCTCTTAAATCTAACCCAGTCATGCTGCTGCCCTCACTACTCCAACAAAACTTCTCTTTTGTTCAAAACCTCTTCTGAAGGTCACCAGTGACCTTCACAATGCTAAAGCCAGTGCTTCTTAGTCCTCATCTTTCACATATTAGCACGTTTGACACAGTTCATCACTCTTTTCTCTTCGATAGAATTTATTTACTTTTTGTTATCTAGGGTAGTTCTTCTCAAAATGTACAGTGTGAACAAATCGCCTAGAGAATCTTGTTAAAAACAACTCTAATTCAGTAGGTCTGGGGTAGGGTCTGAGATCCTAACTTCCCAGTGATGTTGTTGCTGCTGGTCCACGGACCGCACTTTGAGTAGCAAGGTTCTACAGCATTGCACTGGCCACATCTTGCTTTCCTTCACTCCTCTTTCTTCAGACCTCTTTCTATTGAAGTTCCCTGAGTTTAGTCTTTGATCTTCTCTTTTCTATCCACACTAACTTCATTAGTGGTCTCACCAAAGCCTATGACTTTAAGCACCTTCTATATATTAACAACTCTGAAACTTAGAGCTTAATCCCAGACCTCTTTCTCAAATTCCAGACTCATAACATCAACTTCCTATTTGATATCTCCAGTGGAATGTCTAATAGACATCTCAAACTTAATCTAACTAAAACTTAACTACTGGTCTTTTTCTCCAAACCTGCTCTACCTGAAATTTTCTCCATCTCAGTTGATAGCAACTCCACCTTTCCGGTTGCTCAGGCCAAAAACTTTGGCGTTTGTAGAATCATGTTTGACTCTACAACTGTCCTTTCTGAACTGTCATCATCTCTCACCTGGATTCTTGCAACAGTTTTAACAAACCTTCTTCCTTTTGCTCGTAACTTTCATAATCTCTTCTCAACAGTACCCAGAGTAATCACTGAAGATATATTAGAATATATCAACCTTCTATTCAAAACATTCCAATGGTCCCTCATGTCACTCACTGAAAAAACCAAACTCTTAGAACAGGCTGTGAGGCCCTTTATGATCTGATTCAAGGTAACCTCTCTAACCTTTTCTCCTTCTGTTCACTTTGGCCCAATGGGCAGGTATGTTCCCATCCTAGGGACTTGTCTTTAATAGATCCTTCTGCCAGATATATCATCCCAAATATAACTATTTGACTATTTCCTCTCCTTCAAATCTTTATTCAGAGCTCATCTCCTCAGTGAAGCCTACCCTAAGCTGCTTTTTTAATACTGCCATCTGCCCAGGAGTCCTGATTGCCATTATGCTACTCTACATTTCATTGTATTCTATAGCATCTATCATTTTCTAAATACTATATAGCTTCCTTTTTTTACTGTTATGTTTGTTTCTGTCTATCTCCCCCTGCTAAACTTTCAGCTCCATGAGAAGACTCTTTATGAGTTTGGTTCACAAATGTATTTTAAGCACGTGGAACAGTGCCTGGCCACAGAGTAAGTCCACAATTAAATATTTGTTGAATGACTTAAAAGATTTTCCAACTGCACCCTTTGGGTGAGTGTGCATGTGGATATAGAGGCAATGTATTGATCAACCCATTATACAATTAGGCATAGTATAAGTACTAAGAGTGAATGAGTATTATTTTTTAAGTGGAAGAAGGGTATCTAAATAGGTGACTGTGTTATTAGAGAAGAAAGAGTGAGCATTTTACCAGCATCATACTGACTACAGAAAGTATATTCTATATTTATTCCAAAGGCAATGAAACAAACTTCTAAATTTGGCTTAAATATTAAAAAACAAACACATTTTCAAAGTCTCAAATTAAAGGTATGATTACAAAGTAAGCAGACCAATTTCATATGCAATGTGTACAATTTCATGGCATCGTTACTCTAGAAATACACTTTACAGTAAGTAAATAGCCATCATTCTAAGACATTACAGTGAATTACCAAAATTCCTTAGTATGATTTTTCATTGTACTTCTGAAGAGAATATAAATTAAACAGTCTATCACCACAATCTCAGTCAAAAGCATGCTCTGAATTCCCTTTTTTTTTTTTGGCTGTGCCTCACGGCATGTGGGATCTTAGTTCCCTGGCCAGGGATCAAACCCGTGCCCTCTGCAGTGGAAGCACGAAGTCTTAACCACTGGACCACCAGGGAAGTCCTAAAAAGTATGCTCTGAACTCTTAATATGCTTGTTCTGTTGTCAGCCACAAACATCTCACCCACTTATTACTGCTATACTGAAGAGATTTTTCTCCAGTTAGCATTCTTCTTCTGGGCCTTCAAACTACCTACACATTTGAGGATTTGTTGAGTACTATTTTTCTTTCTCTTATGCGCTCTATCTGCTCTAAACGATTAAACTTAAAAGAGGACATTTGGTTAGTTTGAAAAATATTCCATTATATTCTCTATATTAAATGTTTGGTCTTACCTTCTTCGAAGAATATAACAACAACCGTTTGTAAGAATCATTTTTGGAATATGTAAATCGAAAGGTACCCTGGGCATTTGAAAGACGTGGACAGTCTTTTTTGCAAGAAGGTTTTGAATCTGTACTTTTAAGCTGTCCAATTGCTTCATGAGGTGTGTATTTTAGAGATAAATCTGCATTAAAACTTGATTTCTTCTCTTGGATGATACTTCTGAATACTAGCATCTGTTCATCATAATATTCAGTTCTGAAATTTTTGTCGGCTTTGGTCTAAAAGAGAATAGCAAAGTGTTTTTGAAAACAACATACAAAAAAAAACCCAAAATAAACAGGAAAAGACAAAAATCAGGCAACTTATTTGAAAGGGAGTAGAACAAAGAAGTTGAGCCACGGCAAGAAAGTGAGACTGAGAGGGTTCAAATACAGAGCTGATGACTTTGAGAACATTACACGATAACCTCTCTGTGCCCAGTCTGATTTCTAGTGTGTAAAATCGGGATACTCACCATGCCTGGACCAAAGGTTGTTGTAAGGAGTCAATGAAATAAAGCATATGAAGGACTTAGAACATAGCAAGCTTTCAAGAGTTAATATATTAATAATTAAA